CATGGCAGGATATGAAAAAAAAATCTGAAATTGAAGGCTGTAGCAGAAAAACGGTATGGTTCAGGAACAGGTAGTAGTCCAGTAAAAGTTATAAAATAAAATATTGAATATTTTATCGCCGATGGCTACTTTTGGTGACACACTTGTACCCATACCAAATGTGATATTTGAGTTTGTGCTCCTATCTAACGTATACAATACCTAATTATGTATAAAACATTTTCTATTTTCAATTTTCCCCAGACTTCTTCTGATTCAGCACATCAAAGAAACCGAATCGCACCTTGGAAACTCTCATTTGGAAGTGATAACTAATAATGAACCTAATGATGAAGAACCTATAGTAAGTAGTTTCTTCATTTTAGAGCAGGTAAACCTAAAGTGTTCTTTTATGACAGTTAATTATAGAAAAAGGAACAGCTGAAACGCCCAGCAAAAAGTTGACCCCTAACCCACAAAAACGTTTGATTAAAACTAAGAGGTTAGAATATTCTGTTCAAGTTTCGAAGCAATTAGTAAGTATTGAAGAAGAAAAGAAAAAGGAAGCATCAAGAACTATGTAGAAAAAATAATATATATTATTTAAAAGAAAGATTATGAAAATTTAAAAAGTTCTCTTCAATGCCAACCAGATCTTTTGAAGCAAGTAAGGGAAGTCAAACAACATTTTTTATCATCCTAATTATTATTATAATTTATAAGTGTCTTTTTGGATAATGGGGTAGTATACAAATGATTTTTAACTACTGCGTAGTGATATACTCGTATCGTACTATTTAGTGTAATCAGTTGCTTTGTAAAAACCGAAATACAGTGGAATCATTTTTTTTAAATTTCCTCTTAGCTCCGCCCCTACGTGAAAAAAAAGTTCGTGACGTAGTTAGTTTTTCTAATCTGGCAACACATCACGGTTTTAAGAACGCACAATTTGCACTGACATTGACCGTCAAGAACGAAACGTCAAATTTACTACATCAAACAACGTAAACAAGTTACTGTGACAATGTGACATGTCACACGATTCACACGACACCACACATCGTTGAACTGTTGAAGTCAGCTGTCGGTTTGAGGCATTTTGAGTAGCGTTGCCAGATGGTCAGCGGTTCGAATACTATAGGTCGCCGCTGTGGCGCTAAATTCAAATTATAGTTTGTTCTCTGACTAATTCTATAGGCACTATGCTGGAAAATGTTTTAGTATCCCACTATACCATCACCATTTAGCCTATAGAATAATGTCGAGCAGTTTTTTTAGTGATTTTCATACATAGTATACTACCCCATTATCGTTGAAAATGAATTATATGAAAGTAACAAGATATCGGTCAATTTAATTATAATAGTAAAACTCTTATACAAGTATAAACTTGATATTAGTTGAAATAATTTATATACTTACGTAATTTAATTTTTACAATTGTCAATATTTCTACCATTATATATATTATTAATAATTCTAGCCCTGACGAAGGAACAAAATAGTTCCGAAAGGTTGGTACTTGTAACAAGTGTTACCAATATAATTGAATTGTCTGAAATCCTGTTACTTCCATATAATACATTTTCAACGGTCATTATCCATATAGAAAATGTTCTTGTTATTTAAATATAATATTATAATAGTTCTAAGTTATTTTGTATTATTGGCCTACCTAATAAATTAATAAATATATGTATATATTTTTCATTATATTACACCTCGTCTCGTAATTAAGAAAACCTTCCACTTCTTGTCAGATCACACGCTTTTTAAAGATATCGATTTTTCGATTCCCTGCATACGCCGCTGCCCTGTCATGGAAGTGGCATGCACATGTCATCTTCGCGTTTGACTTCATTCTTTCGCAGCGTGTCAAACTACATACATCGTTCGGGCGGTTCGCGTGTTCGGTGTGTAACTAAACATTGAAAAAATGTCGAAAGTCGTGGCTGAACGTAAGAAGTGCAATGAAGAAAATGAGGTAAGTGTTGAGGAAAAAATAGTTGCTATAAAGAAGCAATTTGTAGATTTGGAATCCGCGCAAGATGGAGGAAAAATTGACAACCGGAAGCGACTGCAGCGCAATGAGCAAATATTACACTATTTAGTGTTAATTTTACACTCTTTAGTGTATTGGAGATTTATTAGCTTACACTCGTTAGGTTACTTTTACCCTTCACTTTATATTAAAATATCAAAATTTACTCTAGATGATGTTGGTAAAAACTACACTTAAAGTGCAAGACCTATATACACCACCGAGTGTTTATTGAGTGTAAAACTGTTCACTCAATTTTTTACTGTCTACATACCATCAGAATGCATGAGCAGAAATCGTTTTGAAATACTTCTTAGAATGGTACATTTTGCAGATAATGATGAAAATAAAAATAGTCGAGATCGCTTGCACAAGGTTCAGTCGGTAGTAGATAAAATACAGTGTCGCGTCAGATGCGTACCAAATTTGATAAATTTCCAGAAAGAACATTCATACTACAAACCTAATAAATTATGGTAGATTTGGGAAGCCTCGAGCGAAAATCTATGAAAATAATGACGAAAATTGTATCGCAAATCCATCGTCTTTTACAAGAATGGCAGAACGTGAGCTACCAATTACAAAATCGACATTCCATGGAGTATCAAAAAAAGGTAAATGCCATCCTTATAAACCAACAATAGTGCAAGGTTTGCGGGAAGGTGACTACCCTAGAAGACTACGTTTTGTAATTGGTTTATAAATAAATGTCAGGAAGTTCCCAATTATCCCGAAAATGTTATTTGGACCGATGAAACGAGACTCACCAATTGTGGAGTATTTAACCGTTACAACTTCCATTTTTTTGGTCCGTTGTAAATCCAGAATTGAGATCTCCGCGTAGGTTACAGACTTAACTGAATTAAATTTTTTAAGGTACTAGATTTATCGAACCATTTATTTATCAGGATACATCAACAGGTGTCAGATATCGCGATATGCTGAGAGACCAAATCATTCCCGCCATTGGGGGTGCAACCACAGAAAAACAATTTAACATTTGGTTCCAGCAGGATGGTTGCCCAGCGGATAACACAAGAGAAGTGCAAACCCTTCTAGGAAATACTTTTGATAATAGACTAATATCCAATAACAGTCCAGTACTGTGGCCAGCTCGGTCTCAAGATATCACTCCGATGGACTTCTATGTATGGGGTTTTGCAAAAAACAAAATTTACGATTTTGAACCTCCTTCAAATGGAGATGTTTTGGAGTAACGGGTGAAGAATGCCCTAGCTGGTATCAATGGAAATACCGGTTTCATTCATACTGGAATTCGTAGTCTGGCAACGTGGCAAGACGCCAAAAATCACATCGAACAAAAAATTAAGTGCAATAATATACGTAGAGTGCGGTATAATATTCTACAAATCATATGCGGAAAGAGATTGGGCCGATAAAGTGGTAGTTATAGACAAAACGCGCGTGAAATGTTTGGAACATGGACTCTATACCATAACCTCAATCAATTTAACAGAAGATGAAAACAAAAACTACAACTTATATGAATCGGTGAAACTAGAAAATCTTATTTTACTAATTTTACAAGAGGCAAACCAAAACTTGAACATCGCTATGGAGACTCTTAAATCGGAAATCAATTCTATAAAAGATAAGATAAACACAAACAGGGTGACATGGGGCCACAATGCTTCAGAAAGTCATAGAATAATAGGGTACTTGCACTAATTTTTAATCCTAAAATTTCTACCATAATTCCGTGAGAAACTTTATCTTAAAGACTCTTGCCAAATATGACCCTTGATGAATCATTATTTTCCGATAAAATCAAAATTCGAAATGGTCAAAGATTTAAATTTTCAGAAACGATTTTTATTGGTTTACGTCACAACTCAGTAAAACGTTGCCAAATCAATCTCCCTAATTGTACGAAATAGATATGTTATCGGCGTTGTCGGGCTGTCAGTTTACTCCTAGGTAAAGTTGTACTATTTCGCAAATTACTATATAAATCGCTGAAAAAGGTTTTTTAAAATTTATCATAAAAAAAAATTTCAACAAAAGAGACTAATGGCCATTTGCACCAACATTTTCCTAGGTGAGGAATAAGCAGGGAAGCCGCGGCAAAGAGGAGAAATAAGAAAATAAATAAATTTATTACATTTTGGGGTTAGGTTTGGCGGGACCCATACAAAAACAAATGAAAAACATGAAAAGTCACTAAGAATTTACGCTGTTGCCACCGTTACAACTTTCCTACGCAGGTGTTTCCTTATTACTTTTTCCAACTTATAAAAAAGGTGCAAGTTCTGTTATGTGTGAAGAGGTAAGTTTCCAACGATTTCTCCTAGATTTTTTCTTAACTTGTTTTATTAACCACTTCAGCAGATAAAAACAAAACGCTCTAGGGCTCCTAATTATACAAACGAAGAGAAGGAAAGATTACTGAATGTGATCGAAACCTTTAAATATATTATAGAAAACAAAAAGACTGATGGTGTCTCCATTATTGAAATAAAAAGAAGCATGGAATAGAATTGGTGAGCAGTTTAATCATCAACCCCAAATATGGTCTTCCGACCAGTAGATTCTCTAAAGAAATAAAAAATACTACGAGTACTTGAAGGAAGATTTAAAAAAAAAGAGCTGCAAACACTAAAACAGAAATATACAAAACCGACCCAGAGGAAGAAACAACAGAAAACCAAAACCAAGCAAATGACATTTAAATAATATACGAATCTGAGGCTGACGAACATGAAATGTTATACAACAGAGAACAAAATGTGAAAAGAAATACTCACAACAATACACAAAAAGGTGAGGTCTGGCTCAAATTGGAAAAAGTCAGAATCTCTTAAACAGCCAGTTCACAATATTTTGCAAGAAAACATACAAAACGTGAGTCAGCTATCTATATATTTCACTGCACAGTCGATCTGGAGACCCTTCTCCAACCGAAACAGAATGCTACCGAAAAAAGAGCAAACTTTCTGGTGCAGGGACAAATTTGAAGTTTATGACAGTGGAAGATTTTGGGACACCTCCTGCTAAAAGGTTACACCACGCATCTTCTCCTGATAGTTTTTTAAATGCTGTTATAGCACAGGCAACAGCAAAAGGTTCATCGATGCAGTTTTTGAAACATTTTAGGAAAAAAAAAGTCCCTCTCGGATTTGAGTATGCATTGCATATACTTGACTTTTTGTCCACTGGGAAACAAACGGCAAACGATTTTTGCGAATTTTCAAAAGCCAAACTTGATAGAGAAGCATGTAAAGAGGCTTGTGAGGCAACAAGAGACCAGTGCAACCAAAAAAAATGGCACAAGTTGCGGTATGGTAGATTAACAGCGCCAAGAAAATATGAAGCAGCAACATGCAAAACTGTTGAGGGTTCATTAGTGGAATCACTCACTGGAAGGCTGCAGATAAGGGAAACAGAGGCAAAAAACAGGATCAACCTATCCCAGAGGTAACAACATAAGAAATATCAGATTGGTGGATATCTTGGAAAAACGTTAGTGTTTTGTTTTATTTTTTAAACCTAACCCCAGACAAGAATTTCACTAAATGGAGCCACTTCATAATGACCCATCTTATTGATTTGGTTCAGAGGTTTGACGATGAGATTCAAACTAATATGAAACTAACAATTATCATAAATGAGACCCGTCAAACTAAATACACATTTCTGCAGGTAGACTCGAAGTGGAAGGGGTTGAAAAGAACATACCATGAAACTAAAAAACACAATTCACTAAAACATTGTTTTTTTTTTCGACCAAACGCACAATGTTCTGCATAAAAAACCTAAAGTTAATCCCTCCGTTACATGTAGGAGCTCAAAGGGGTTGATGGAAATCAATGGATGTGAGAATGAGCAAACCACAATAACTGAGAAGCCATATGGTAGAAAAAGAAAACATGACTTTTGTTCAAATTTCACGAATCAAAGATCGCAAATAGCACTAAGACACCAACAAAAAATGGAAAGAGTCGATAAATATCTGAAGCTTTGTAGAAGCAGTTGTGAAGAAATAACAAGTTTTTATAAAATTAAAGGTTTCAGTCAGAGTTCCATAATCTTCAACCAGAGCAGATCTATAATATAGATGAAACTGGGGTCAATTCGGTTCCAGCTCCCAGGAAAATTTTGGCTGAAAAAGGAAAAAAACAAGTCGGCGGTTATGGCACACTAATAACCCCGGTTCTCGTGTGTCAATATTTGATATTGTAGAAATGTTTTCCAAGGCATTTCTTCATGTTGCTAGTATGGACAAAGCTGTAAAAGGCTTTCAAACCACAAGAATATTTCCATTTAATGATGAAATTTTTCCTGACGATTGTTTTCTGCCTGCTGAAGTCACAGATGTCCAAGTGGAGCAAGAAGCTGAAAGTCCCCTGCATGCTGAATCTCCTGTAACCCATGATAGTCCTTTACCTGCTGAAAATCATTTACCTGTTGAAAATCTATTAAATGACAACCCATCTGAAACTGAAAATCCATTTAAGAATCCACAGCCTAGTTGCAGTCATACTTCGTTCAAAGATGCCATTATAAAAGTGTCTGCTCTGGGAGTAGGGGAGAAGCTTGTACCTTGACCCATCATGTACCTTGGACCATATGTGTAATTTCAAATTTGGCGCGTAAATCTCTGTCAAATTCTGTTATGTTGGTTATCACTTCCACCGCCAATGCGTGACACGTTGTTTAAATGAGTTCTGTGAAACGGTTGTCTTGTAAGCGAGTGTATGTTTCAAGTGCCTCCAAAAGTAAGTATTTTGATGTGATTTCAAAGTTTTCTATTCAGTTTTACAATACATAAATTAAAATTTCGCATGCCCTATGTTAAACTTAGGTATGTAGAGAAATTAAATTGATAATTTTCCATTTTTCATTTTTTGTTTATATAGGTTAGAAAAATATTTGTTTATTATATCTAATAGGCTTGTACCTTGGACCATGGCCCTGTCTTGTACGTTGGGCCATGGTCCGAGGTACAATCGCTGTTTTGACTTTTTTATTCGGATGTATAATTGCATGGATATATTTTTTTAGATGCCAAGAAGTAAACAGGGTGTAAAGAGAAAATGCCCCGACCTTGCCGCTTTACAATTCGCAGCAAATGCTGTACAAAATGAACATATTTCAGTGCGTACTGCATCTAAAGACTTTAAAGTGTCCCGATCTACACTAAAAAGGTATTTGATCAAACTTGAGCAAAACGTAGCTTACAAATCTTACGAAAATTGTGCGGTTAAAAAAGTGTTTTCGGAAGCAGAGGAAAAAAGCTTGTGCGAGTATCTCCTCACAGCATCTCATATGCATTATGGCCTTACCCGTCGAGATCTTCAGGTCCTTGCCTACGACTTTGCCAAGGCAAACAATAAAACTATCCCTGCTTCTTGGGAAAACAAACGTCGCGCCGGAAAGCAATGGTATTTGGATTTTTTGAAGCGCAGAAACACAATAAGCTTAAGAAAACCACAACCGACAAGTTTAGCCCGGTCCACAAGCTTCAACAAGCACAACGTTTCCACTTTTTTCGAGAAGCTCAGGGGGGTTTTGCAAAAGCATCAGTTTACTGCTGATAAAATTTACAATCTAGATGAAAGCGGAAACACAAACGTTCATATGCCAGGTAAATTAATATTTTTCTCACTATCTTGTTTTTGACATCGTCAGGAAAATTTCAGTCCTTTATTATAATTTTTTTTTTCGGTTTCAGATAAAATTTTGGTCTGTAAAGGGGTGAAACAAGTTGGAAGCGCAACATCAGGTGAACGAGGTGTCAATGTTACTATTATTGCATGCGTGAATGCCATAGGAAACAGTGTGCCACCTTTATATATATTTGCGAGAGTAAATTATAAAGACTTCATGATTAAAGGTGCTCCTCCTGGTTCCATTGGAACTGCTCACCCCAGTGGCTGGTCTAACAAAACAATCTTTCTACAGTATCTTCACCACTTTCTGAAACATGTAAATTGTTCCTTTAATAATAAGGTGCTACTTATCCTAGATAACCATGAAAGCCATATTACCATCGAGGCAATAGATTTCGCAAGAGATAACGGAATAGTAATGCTTACCCTACCTCCTCACACAAGTCACAAGCTCCAACCGCTAGACCGAAGCGTATTTGGGCCTTACAAAACATACTACAACACAGCATGCGCCGACTGGATGCGTTCTCATCCTGGAAAACCTATTTCAATTTATGATGTGGCCGAAATATCAGGAATAGCCTACCCTTTAGCCTTCATACCTCCAAACATTCAGTCCGGTTTTAGAGTATCAGGTATTTGGCCGTTTAATGAGAATATCTTTCAAGAGCATGAATTCATGGGATCATCAGTAACTGATCGGCCATATGACGACCCATCTACATCCCAAGGAGCCCCATCAGGAACCCCATCTTTACATTTAGCAACCGTATCCACAACAAGCATTCCTACAACTGCATCAAATACTGTTGCAACTCCATCCAGCATTATTACATCCACACCAAACGCTGCTTCCTCCAGATTAAACACGACTCCGTCCACACAAAATGTTACTCCATCCACATCACATGCAATAATCACACCAGAAATGATTCGTCCATTTCCACAAGCTGCTCCAAGAAAAGCTTCCGCCAAAGGACGAAAAAAAGGAAAATCCCGAATATTAACTGACACGCCTGAAAAAATGGAAATTGAAGCCAACAAAAAAAGCGTTACAAAAACGCCCAAAGCAGCAAAGAAAGAAATTGTGAAGAGAAAGGTGTTACAGTCGTCATCCTCGTCATCATCCTCAGATGAAGATTCTGAAGACATTGTTGTCTATGATGACGATTCAGACTTAGATGCTGAAGATGATTTTGAAATTGATCCCATAGAAGAATGTCAGGCTAAACCCACAGAAGTCAAAATTACCGATTTAGCAATAGGTGATTTCTGTCTCACAAAACTAACAGGGAAAAAAAAATACATTTCTATGTTGCCGAAGTAACTGTTCTAAGTCCCTGTTTAATGGTCCAATACTTGAAAAGAATTCTCACCAGCAACAAATTTTCTGGCCCAAGTGGTCAACAATTTCAAATTGATATTGAAGACGTTTTGCTCAAACTTGCACCCCCACGTCAGGCAGGATTGTCCGAAAGGCAAAAAGGGATACATATTTTCGATTTAGATTTTGAGAAGTACAATGTTGAATAGTAAGAAATAGTTTTTTTACATTTATTTTTAAATTTGTATAAATGCCTCAAGGTACAAGACTAGTTGGTCCAAGGTACACTATATGTTTGTACCTTGGGCCAAATTCGTAATAATAAATAAAATCCCAAAATAAATGTGTTTTATTGTTTAACTAATATTATTATGTAATATAATGTTCTACTATATATAACATACAAGTTAGCCCAAAAAGTTTACCTTAAAATTCAACAATGTGAATATAACGACGTCTCGAAAAAATCCTGCCCAAGGTACAAGCTTCTTCCCTAGTTGTTTCTGACTGGTCGACGAAGTTCAATTTTGCTTGGGCAGGGAGCTTCAGCCTGTCCTTCTGATGAGTCCTACCAAGGACGAACCGCGTCAAGGATTGGCACGGGAAGTCTGAATTCACTGCTCAGTGGGTCGATTCCCAAACAGGGACCGTAGTGTCCCTGTATTCACGTTGGTCATTACCTGAAAAAATATTTCTAACAATTTTCATTGCCAACGAAAGCTCAGACCAATCAGTGTAATTGAACGCCGGTAGGGGTATTTGCTCTCGGAGAAGTTGTTTCTGACTGGTCAACGAAGTTCAATTAAAATGTTGTTTAATAGAAATAAAAAAAATAATAATGATGACAAATTGATAATAACTCTATGGAGATTGTTAACACCATATGTTTTTTCAGCTCACTCGACAATCAAATTAATTTCTTATAGAAACAGGTAAAACTGCAAGTTGTTTTCTGGTGGCATTTTAGATCATATAGCGGAAACATTACAATAATTGAAAAACAGATGGCGCGATATATCCTACAAATAAAAGGTCGTTCGGAACTAATTTTGGTTAACAATCAGACAAGATAGTTATTTGGCAACTGGTTGGTATACGAACTAGAAAGGTTCAAATAACTTTTCTGATTTCTTCTTGTCCAAAGCACTTGAGTTTGATAGGTACTTTGGCCGGAAGTACAAATACCCATTGATTGGATTTGTCCAATCGATTGATTATTGGTTGCGTGATTTTGACTTCAGTTGGCTTGCAAGTAGAAGTATCTTTTTCAGAGTCCAGTAGCTTTACTTCACATGGACTGCTGTCTTGAAGATCTTGGATGTCTTCTTTTTCGCATAGGTGGAATTCAGGAAGGATTTTCTGGCATTCTTGGCCATAATGTGCGTAGTGCAATCCGTTTTTTAGAAGATATTTATTTTCTGGAAGGACTACCTTAAACTGACTCTGACTTCTGATTGGTATTGAATATAGGTAGAAATAAT